AGTACAAGAAACTTCAGTCTCAGTCTAAGACCTTCCAAGGTGGGGCTGGCAGAGCCCCAGGATGGCCTGAGGGGAGGCCCAGGTCCTGGCTCAGAGCCAGAGGGAAGGGCTGAGGTCAGACCTCGGCATGAGGGGAGGTTGGGTGGTGCCAGGACCGTCACCAGGGTGACAGTGGAGTGCAGCAGAGGCAGAGATGGCTTCCGGATCCCCTGGACACCTGCCTGACCCCATGTGCCCCTGCAGAGACCTAGACCTCACCTCCAAGGCCCAGTGGCACGTTGGTCAGCTCTGGGACCGTGGGGATAGGGGCTGGGGCTAGCCATGTGTGTGCATCTGTGTGTGTCCACCCCACCTGTGCATGTCTGTGTCTCTGAATGGCCTGCCCAGGCCCCTCACCTGCTGGTAGTAGACATAGGCGAGGACACCAGCGATGATCTCCAGCAGAAAGATGATGAGGAGCAGGATGAAGTACTGGGTGGGGGGGGGAGGGGCAGGGTGCACAAGGAGGCCTAGTTCTGAGGCCTAGTGCCTGGGCACCTCAGAGCAGAGTCCCCACCCCGGCTCCCCAGGCTCCAGGTGGGGGCTGAGTGGCGGCCACCCTCCCTGCAGGTTTCTTGTGGAGCTGGTGTCTTCCCTCAGCTGGTCCAGCGGGAATGTGGGGACCCACAGGACTAGGCAGGGGTGGAAGGACCGTGCCCCCCCCAGGTGAGCACAGCAAGGCACAGGTTCAAAGCCTGTAGCAACAACCCCCTTGGGCCCCATCCAAACCACCCCGCCCCGTGGCCCTGCGCCCTGCTGACCAGGCGCAGCAGGTTCCGACGCTCCTTGAAGGTGGCACAGCAGCCCAAGACCCCGGTCACCATGACGACAGCGCCCGCCACCACCAGGATGTAGGCTGTGGCCAGGTAGGTGCCCGAGGCCAGGAGGCTGATGTAGTCACTCTTGAGGGCCAGCGTCCAGATGCCCACTGCCATGACAGCCAGGCCGGCCAGCTACAAGCAGTACACACCAGTCACCGAGTCTGCCCAGGTCTGATGGTGACCCAGGAGGGGCAGGGGTGGGGGTGGGAGTGGGGGCAAGGCGACCCCTCCTCACCCAGAAGCAGCAGTTGTAGGTAAACAGCAGGTACTTGAGGCAAACGGTGCCACATGTTGTCTTCTTCTCGTTAAACTCACCCATCCTGGGGCTGGGGAGGCAGGGGAGGGGTCAGCGGGGCCACAGCACCAGACCCCTGACAGGGACAGATAGGAGGAGGGAACACAGATGCCCAAGCCGGCCCAGGAGTCGGGTGGAGCCAGTCACTGTCCTGGGAGACCTGCGAAGGAGCCCCTGTGGGAACATGACGTGTCACCTCCTAGCGACTCAGGAGCCCTGACCAGGTGCAAACACGAGAGACCCCTGGTGCCCACAGATAGGCCAGGGGTCATGGAGGACTGCCCATCATCACTGCTGACTCACCCCTGCTGGCGGCCCGGGGAGGAAGCCCTAGCGGGTACCTCCGGTGAGCTCATGCCAGCCTGCCCGCCCCCCATGGCATTCCCGGGGCCCCACGTCACAGGCTGACAGGAGACTACGGGCCTGCAGTGAGGGCGGAGGAGGCCACTCAGAGACAGAGACAGCAGAGGGGCAGAGGCTCAGACAGGCCCCAGCTCAGCCCCTTCCTAAGGCTCTCCAGGCCTGTTTACGGTCTGTTAAAGGGCAGCCCTTCCTTCCTCCTGGCCCGAGTGGGGAGAATGGAGCGTGGAGGCAGGTGGAGCCTGGCAGACTGAGAGGGTTCTTCCTGGACAGGGGACCCACACCAACACGAAGGGGCAGCACAGATAGGCTGTGTCCCTCCCCAGAGGCCCCGTGCCCTGCCCAACATGCAGCAGCGGGCAAGCTGTGAGCACAGGGAAGGCAGGGACCGCATGGGGTGCAGACAGCAGGTGAGCGCCCCGGGCCACGTTTCCAGACAGCACAGCCAGGCCTGGACTTTCACCGCCCCGCTTGCTCTGCCCCACCCTGCCCAGCACACACCAACTGGGCTGGGAACGACTCCTCTGCAGGACAGAAGCTCCCCAGGACTCTAGGCTAGAGGGACAAGGACACGTCAGGTCACAGGTTACACGTCTGGCCCAAGGGCCAGAGTGGGCTGGGTTCATTCTGGAGGCAGAAAGAGGAGTGGCCAAGCCTGGTATTTTAGTCTGGGCTAGGGTGGGGCAAGGCAGAGGACATTTCTTTTCTTTTTTTCCTTTTTTTTTTTTTTTTTTGAGACGGAGTCTCGCTGTGTCGCCCAGGCTGGAGTGCAGTGGTTCGATCTCAGCTCACTGCAAGCTCCGCGCCATTCTCCTGCCTCAGCCTCCCAAGTAGCTGGGACTACAGGCGCCTGCCACCCGCCCGGCTAGTTTTTTGTATTTTTTTAGTGGAGACGGGGTTTCACCGTGTTGGCCAGGATGGTTTCGATCTCCCGACCTCATGATCTGCCCGTCTTGGCCTCCCAAAGTGCTGGGATTACAGGCTTGAGCCACCGCGCCCGGCCTTTTTCCTTTTTTTGAGATGGAGTTTCGCTCTGTCACCCAGGCTGGAGTGCAATGGTATGATCTCGATCTTGGCTCACTGCAACCTCCACCTCCTGAGTTCTAGCAATTCTCCTGCCTCATTCTCCTGAGTCATTGGGATCACAGGCGCCCACCACCACGCCCAGCTAATGTTTGTATTTTTAGTAGAGACAGGGTTTCACCATGTTGACCTGGCTGGTCTTGAACTCCTGACCTTAGGTGTTCCACCCGCCTTGGCCTCCCAAGGCAGAGGACATTCCCGGACAGTGTCTGATCCTGGGAGGGACCTCATGCCTTCCCCAGGTGCCCCACTCTTGGCCTTCGCTCCAGGCCCATCACTGGCCCTTCTGCCCCAAACAGCAGCAGCTACAGCCTGGGAAAGAGGCATCATAAAGCTCGCGGGGACAGACCTGACCACTGAGCTGAGAGGGGACATTCACCCTCCATGAAGCCCGGGGCCTAAATACACGCACCAGGGGTGGCACGAGCAGACCCTGCCACCAGCGGGGCGGTGTGCCTGCCACCGATGGGGGGGATGTGTGTCTGTCACTGAGCTTGGGGGATGTGTGAGCCCCTCACGGATCTGCCCCTGGCCTGGCTGTGAGGTCCCAGGCTTTCTGGAGAGGCTGGTTCAAGGCACAGATGCGGCCTCCACCGCGAGGACACAGACGACCCGCTGCGGAGTGGCCCCTCTTCCCAGGAATGCCTAGTCCCTCTGAACCCCCTGGGAAAAGGCCATCCAAAAATAGCTCTCCGGCCCTCCCCGAGTCCCCGGGACC